CTAGACCTAGACTTTAGTAAAGCATTCGATACGGTTTCACATGACCTTCTTATCAATAAACAAGTGCTTTGGAGGATAGGGTCATAATTCAAAATGATCTGGACAAACTAGAGAAACGGTCTGAGGTAAATAGGATGAAGTTTAATAAGGACAAATGCAAAGTACTCCACTTAGGAAGGAACAATCAATTTCACACATACAGAATGGGTAGTGATTGTCTAGGAAGGAGTACTGCAGAAAGGGATATAGGGGTCATAGTGGACCACAAGCTAAATATGAGTCAACAGTGTGACACCATTGCAAAAAAAGCAAACATGCTTCTGGGGTGCATTAACAGGAGTGTTGTGAGCAAGACACGAGAGGTCATTCTACCACTCTACTCTGCATTGATTAGGCCTCAATTGGAGTATTGTGTCCAGTTCTGGGCACCACATTTCAAGAAAGATGTAGAAAAATTGGAGAAGGTCCAGAGAAGAGCAACAAAAATTATAAAAGGCCTAGAAAACTTGGGCTATGAGGGAAGACTGAAAGAATTGGGCTTGTTTAGTTTAGAAAAGAGAAAACTGAGGGGGGACATGATAGCAGTTTTCAAGTATCTAAAAGGGTGTTACAAGGAGGAGGGAGAAAAATTGTTCTCCTTGGCTTCTGATGATAGGACAAGAAGCAATGGACTTAAATTGCAGCAAGGGAGGTTTAGGTTGGACATTAGGAAAAAATTCCTAATGGTCAGGGTGGTGAAACACTGGAATAAATTGCCTAGGGAGATTGTGCAATCCCCATCACTGGAGATATTTAAGAGCAGGTTGGATAGACATCTATCAGGGATGATCTAGATGGTGCTTGGTCCTGCCGTGAGGACAGGGGACTGAACTTGATGATCTCTCAAGGTCCCTTCCAGTTCTAGTTTTTCTATGATTAACCCTTTTGGCCACAATGTCTCACTGGGCACTCTTGTTCATCTGATTATCTACCACAATCCCCAAATCTTTGTTGGAGTCACAGTTTCCCAGGATAGAGTTCCCCCATTGTGTACGTATGGCCCACATGCTTTGTTCCTAGCCTTTGATCTCTCTAGCCTTTTCTCCCTTCAGTAGGAATGGTGTTGTGACAGGTTCGGTCACAGAGACCCCCTTGGGACTGTCATCTGATGTGCTGAAATTACCTCTGAGCCCTTTTTCCCTGCCAGCTTGGGACTCCAGAACCCTGCCTTGTTGAGCCAGACACACTAGCCTGCAGCAACACAGACTCAGGGCCTGCTCCACACCCCAAAGCTGCAGACTTTAACCAAAAACAGCTCAGCAGGTTACTTTTCTCCAGCACCCAGACACCCAGTTCCCAATGGGATCCAAACCCCAAATAAATCTGTTTTACTCTGTATAAAGCTTATACAAGGTAAATTCATAAATTGACCACCCTCTATAAGACTGATAGAGAGATATGCACAGCTGTTTGTTCCTCCAGGTATTAAACACTCTGGGTTTATTTATAAACGAAAGTGATTTTATTAAGTACAAAAAGTTGGATTTAAGTGGTTTCAAGTAATAACAAACAGAACAAAGTAAGTCACCAAGCAAAATAAAGCAAAACACGCAAGTCTAAGCCTAATACACTAAGAAACTGATTACAGGTAATATCTCACTCTCAGAGATGTTCCAATAAACTTCTTTCACAGACTAGACTCCTTCCTAGTCTAGGCCCAGTCCTTATCTCTGGTACAGTCCTTGTTAGTTCCAGCAGACATCTCAGGTGGTAAGCAGGGGTTTTCTCATGACTGGCAGCCCCCTTTGTCCTGCTCCACCCCCTTTTATAGCTTTGTCACAAGGTGGGAATCTTTTGTCTCTCTGGGTCCCCACCCCTCCTTCTAAATGGAAAAGTATCAGGATTAAGATGGATTCCAGTATCATGTGACATGGTCACATGTCCTGTGAGACCCCATCCTCTATTCTTCCTGGGTTAGCCCACATGTACACAGGAAGGCTTGCAGGTAAATAAACCATTTACAACCAATTGTCATAGTCAATCGGAGCCATCAAGATTCTAAACCACCATTAATGGCCCACACTTTGCATAATTACAATAAGACCTCAGAGTTATACTTCATATTTCTAGCTTCAGATATAAGAATGATACATGCATACAAATAGGAGGAATATATTCAGTAGGTTATAACCTTTGTTATGATACCTTACAGGAGACCTTTTGCATAAAGCATAATCCAGTTACATCATATTTACACTCATAAGCATATTTCCATAAAACATATGGAGTGCAACGTCACAGGGAGAGTTAAAGTGCTAATCTTCACTATATGTGAAGCTCTAAGCACAGGCTGAAATTATGACTAAAAGTATGTTCTCCTGACCAGTCTGGAGAGTGGCCTTAGTTTCTCAGAGACAAAGGGCAAGCTGATGCCTCAGCAAATGTAAAGAAAGCTGATGGACCATTACCTGCTAAATGGCCATTCATTGGCAGGAAAGGGGGCAGAAGCAAAATCTATGGCTAGGTCTACAGACCTATATTGGTATATCTACATCGCTCGGGGTGTGAAAAATCCACATCCCTGAGTGACGTAGTTACACCCACCTAACCCCCGGTGTAGACAGTGCTATGTCAATGGGAGCGCTTCTCCCACCAACATAGATACTGCCTCTGGAGGAGGTGGATTAACTGCACTGATGGAAGAAGCTCTCCCGTTGGTGTTTAGTGAAGCCACTACTACAGCTGCACCACTGTACATGAAGACAACCCTTCAATCTTAGGAAAGAAACCACATGGAGTTTCCTTCCACACAGGCTGCCTGTTGCCTTGTTCCCAGCTGGATGTGCTTCTGAGACTTCTCTCTTCCTGCCCGGCGCATTCACTATAAAGACAAAGGAAGCAGCCGTTAGAGTCGGGGTTGGGGTCCTGAGCTAAAGAGACTGCTCAGTGAGACTCCTGAAAGCATGTGGTGCGAACTCCTAGCAAACTATTAGATTCAGAGCAGTCAGCTAAAAACGCGTCCTGTTGCCTTTATTTTCCTATAACCATTTCTGACTTTTATGCCTCATTACTTGCACCCTTAAAATCTCTCTCTGTAGTTAATACACTTGTTTTTATTGTTTTATCTAATCCAGTGTGTTCAAGTTGAAGTGTCTGGGTGGCTCCACTGAGGTAACAAGTTGTGTGCATATTATTCCTCCAAAGGAATAATGGACTCAGTATATTTGTACTATCCAAGAGAGGGCTGGGCAGTACAGGACGTATGTTTCTGAAGAAAATCTGGGAGTGGGTTGGGGTCATCCTGCGGTAATCTTTAAAGCTGGTAAGAGCTGAGGTGCAGCTGGCTGGCTGCAGAGAACACACAGATGCAGCCGGGAGTGACTTACATGCTGGAGGCTCTTTGTGAGCAGTCCAGGCTGGAGGCTACAGCAGCAAAGCAGTATAAAGGGCAGCCCAGGTTACAGGGCTGGGGTGACACAGCTACTCATTGGTTTGGACTGCACGCTGGTATGTCTGTTGTATCAAGCACCTTGAATCTTTTACTTAGACCAAGAAGACTGGATGCTGATTAAGAATGGCTGAAACCAATTTATAGACTTCAATCTAATTTGTGGAGCAGTTACCCGTCAGCTAAGACGGGTAGGCAACCTATGGCATGCGTGCCAAAGGCGGCACGTGAGCTGATTTTCAGTGGCACTCACACTGCTCGAGTCCTGGCCACCGGTCCGGGGGGCTCTGCATTTTAATTTAATTTTAAATGAAGCTTCTTAAACATTTTTAAAACCTTATTTACTTTACATACAACAATAGTTTAGTTCTATATTATAGACTTATAGAAAGAGACCTTCTAAAACCGGTAAAATGTATTACTGGCACGCGAAACCTTAAATGAGGGTGAATAAATGAAGACTCGGCACACCACTTCTGAAAGGTTGTCGACCCCTGAGCTAAGATAAAATCCTGTGACTTTATATGCAGTATCTTCTCATGGTTGCAGAGCCATATTATTGTAAATCATTAGGAGACCCTCCAAAGCAAGTACCATTATAGACTTGTCTTTTCTGTGACTGTACACTTCTATGTTTTGTGGGTGTGCATATATGCATGCCCCTCCGTCCTTTTGGTTCATTAGTTTCTTAACTACATTTTCCCTTCTCTGAGTCACATCCTCACTATTGTAGCCAAATTAGTTTGGACAATACAGGGCAAACCCTGAAATACGAAATTACTAGATGGATTTGTGAACATTACACCCTCCACATGCTCAAAAGGGCCAACTCTCCAGATGGTGTAAATCAACATAGCTCTGACCTCAATAGAGTTACATTGATTTACACAGGTGAGGACATGGCCCATTGAAGTATTGCAGAGCACAAAAATAATAGGCTGTTTGCTAAGGAGTCAGACTGCTAGTGCCGTGACCACATAGACACATGGAATTGCCATTATGTGTCCAGAAGTTGCTCTCACGCTGCTTTGTACATGAGCCTCTCTTATTGAGAGAAGCATTGCTGGACTCTGGGGTCATCCTCGGCTTTTTTTTTTTTCTTCCCCCACCCCCTTCCCCAAGAGGAGCAATGGATCCCTCTAAACAGAGACCAGAGCTGGGCTGGGGGAAACCTCAGCTAAGCCCTTTTTAGCCAAAGGACAAATTTCTACAATTGCAAACCAACAGAAAGCAAACATGCCTTTAAAAATAGTGACTGTCTGAAGTCCGTGGTAAATGTCACATGTGTGATATGTACTGTTCGGACACTTCTTTCTAGTGGCCCATGGCAAGGCTTTAGCTGCTGTTTGCACAGGGCATGTTACGTGCCTCTTGCTTTCATGGTAGGCCTCTACCATAAACACTCTGAACAGCAAAGCAAGCAGCTGGCAAGCAGCGCAGGCTTCCTTAGAAGAAGCAGCACCTAAGCCAAACTGAGAACAAATTGTTCGAGGTAAAAGAATCTGACATTCCCAGCAGTGATTTTGTAAACATTATTTCAGCACTAACATCTCTTTACTTTGCTTCATTGCAGTTGCCCTGAAGAGTCACTGCTCCAAAGCGAGAGCAGAAAGGAATGGTGACCATGACAATGGGAGGACCTTGGGACTGGCTGACAGAATCATGCCAGAGGGTGAACTGCTATTACAGGTTGGTGCTTCTGGCATTCTCTCTACAATCAAGTCTGTTTGCAAGGCTTATTTGGGCACTTTCTCTCTCTCCTCTTCCACCTTGACTCCTGTGCATTTACCCTCACGGGGGCCTCTGTGTTAGAAACGGACAAATATTTGGTTCAAAATGTGACTGACAAAAAAAAAAAAAAAAAAGACCATGCAGTCCCTGGTTGCCTTATTATTCCAGCCTGCAGAGATCAGTCCAACCTCTTATTTAACACGTCACAGTAGAGCATGGTGTAAAGATACAGAGCTTGATTCTCCACTGCTTTGCACCTTTTGTAGTCACTAGCACTGGTGTAAAATGGAAGCATTGGTGGAGTATTACATCCTGTCTGAACACGTATACAGGGCAGTAAAGAGTCATTTACAATTTGCCATTTAGGACTCAATCCTTCCCACTCACTTCCATGGGAGTTAAAATATATATATCTCAGAGAGCTGGACGGGACCCTGAAAGGTCATGGAGTCCAGCCCCCTGCCTTCACTAGCAGGACCAAATGCTGATTTTGCCCCAGATCCCTAAGTGGTCCCTTCAAGGATTGAACTCACAACCCTGGGTTTAAGCAGGCCAATGCTTAAACCACTGAGCAATTCCTCCCTCCCCACCCAGTTGACTTGGATCATTTCAAGCTGCCATAAATATCTGTTTGACCCACACAGCTTCTGGGTGTGGTGTTCTGTCCCATGTAGTGGCACCAAGACCACTTAGAGAGAGAAAACACAATTAATGAGTCTGCTCTACACCCTTCGCTAACAGCCAGTTGGCTTTTAGCTCATGTGATAGAGGCTCATGCACTACGTTCCAGAGTCCTTGGTTCAATTACGCCCGCCCGCTGACAACCAGGGGGTACAGGCGCACAGTTTTTTTTTTAGGACAAAACCCAGTGTTCTTCTTTGAATGATGGTCCCTATTGTATTCCACTGTGGGTTATGCATGCTCCGGATGTTGGAGAATTTGGAAGTAGTGTTCGTTGGTCTGTGCATGTGTCCTGACTCGCCACATCTCCAGTTCTCCTTGCCGCCACATGGTCCGGATTCAAAGCTTCTGGGTCCTCCTCTCTGATACAGTTCTAATTATGACTGTAAATAGTTTTATTAGTTAACATAGCTTTACTTCTTTTCTAGTTTTTAACAGTTTAATAGATTTCTGGGACTTTCCCCATTACTCCCCACCCTGTATCCCTGTTCAAGTACCAGACTATGCCCAGGACTTCAGGCTTCAAACTCAGCACCTCTTGCCTGTGATCCTTCTCAGTGATCTGTGACCATCAATGCTGTCTCTATTGCTTGGGTGGGAGAAGCTCACATTGCAGCTAGGTGCAGTATTTGCCAGTCCTTCCCCAGCGATACCTGAGAAGGCTCAGCACTTTGTCTTTGCAAGTATCTCATGGAGATGGCCATGAGACTGCATTGAACCCAGGCTGGGAACTACCCCAGACATCGGCCTGATTCAGCAAGGAGTGCGCCTCCCACTGCTACGTCTGACTCTGGTGCTGGCGGAACCACCCCCAGAGACGCCATAGTGGGGCCTAGTCAGGAGATTAGGAAGCACACCCATAAGCATGAGACTGTCTTCTTCCTCCAATTCCAAGAAACTGAACATTCCCTGCACCAGATAGGCCCAAGGGGACACGGCATGTTCTAAGTCCCACAGGCTTGAGAAGAAGACCCATAAACAATGGGATCCAACGGTTCTGGGAGCAAAGCAGTATTGCCATCTCCGGCACCCCGCAAGACACGAGAACTTCCCACACCAGGAAAGACATCAACACCAGTACCGGCAAACGGAAAAGAGAAAATGCCCCTTACACTAGGCAGATGCAGATCCATGACTGGATCCAGACAGGCTTCCTGGGGTGCAGTCTCCTCCTTCAGGTCCATCCACTTCCAGAGAACTCACATCCCCGCCACGGGCTATGCCTACAGTACAGATTCTCATGCTTTCCTTGAATGTTATACGCCAGTCCATCGGCTCCAACGGTACCACCATTCGAACCAGAGTCCACCTCTTCCCATGAATTGGAACCGGGGGAAGAACCACCCATACTATACTGCTACTATGCACCATCACAGAGACCAGCACGCCCCAGGCAAAACCATAGAGCTTTAATGATCAAATCCAACACCTGGAATTGCACTAAGAAATGAACTGGAAGCTAATGCAGTTTACTTCTCATGTCTTGCTTACAACACTCTTGCTGACACATCATAGAATGATGTTCACTTTTTTGAAACAGTGTTACACTGTTGACTCATATCTAGCTTGTGATCCACTATGACCCACATCCCTTTCCGCAGTACTCCTTCCTAGGCAGTCATTTCCCATTATGTATGTGTGCAACTGGGCCGTGATCGGCCGAACCTGCCGCGTCAGCAGGTAAATAAAACTGCCCCGGCCCGCCAGGGTGCTTACCCTGGCGAGCCGCATGCCGAACGTTGCCGACCCCTGATCTAGTCTGACCTCCTGCACAACGCAGGCCACAGAATCTCACCCACTCAATCCTGTATCAGACCTGTGTCTGAGGGTACGTCTATACTTACCCACTGGTTCGGCGGCAAGCAATCGATCTTCTGGGATCGATTTATTGTCTAGACGCGATAAATCGATCCCGGAAGTGCTCGCCGTCGACGCCGGTAATCTTGCTCTGCTAGAGGAGTAGGCGGAGTCGACGGGGGAGCCTGCCTGCCACGTGTGGACCCGCGGTAAGTACCTTTAAGTTCGAACTAAGATACTTCGACTTCAGCTACGTTATTCACGTAGCTGAAGTTGCGTATCTTAGTTCAAACTGGGGGCTTAGTGTGGACCAGCCCTAAGCCATTGAAGTCCTCAAATCATGGTTTAAAGACTTCAAGATACAGAATCTTCCAGCAAGTGACTGTGAACCACTGATAACTAATCTCTGGGAATGATTTTCCAACCAGTTATGCACCCACCGTATAGTCCCTCCATCTAGGTTGTATTTCCCTAGTTTGTTTATGAGAGGGTCACGTGAGACAGTATCAAAAGCCTTACTAAAGTCAAGATATACCACATCTACTGCTTACCCCCCATCCACAAGGCTTGTTACACTGTCAAAGAAAGCTATCAGGTCAGTTTGACACGATTTGTTCTTGACAAATCCATGCTGTTACTTATCACCTTATTATCTTCTAGGTGTTTGCAAATTGATTGCTTAATTATTTGCTCCATTATCTTTCCGGATACAGAAGTTAAGCTAACTGGTCTGTAATTCCCCAGGTTGTCCTTATTTCCCTTTTTTATAGATGGGCACTATATTTGCCCTTTTCCAGTCTCCTTCTCCTTCTCAAGACTTCACCTTTGCTGTCTAAAGACATGGCTTCAGTCCATGTACTCACCGAACTGTCACTATGAACTTCATGCTGATAGTCCCAACCACAGTACTGTCATCCCTCCTATAGTGGACAGACCCACATCGTGTGTGCATGGGAGTCCCCTTTCTTCCCTCTTCCCCCAGACAAAACTAGCATCACAGCTGCATCCCTGTTAGGCTGGGGAGCATATACAGACAACCCGTGTGACACAAGGGATGTGGCCACTCAAGAATCCAGGCTGCACGTCAATATCCTAGAACTTTGAGCAGTAAGATTTGTGTGTGAATCCTTTCTTCCACTCATCCACTTGCATCATGATGAACACCACCAAAACGATCTTTAATATGAAAAAACAAGGAGGAGTGAGATCCGTCGCTCTATGTGCAGAAATGAGCAATCTCTCGAACTGGTGCATCAGCGATCAGTCACCCTATCTGTAACCTCTCTTCCAGGAATGCAGAATGTGGTTACTCAGCAGATACTTTGCAATTGATCATAAATGGGAACTTCAGGATGCAGTGCTACATGATATCTTCACACAATGAGGGATCCCAACTAGGGACCTATTTTGCTTCTCAAACAAACAGCAAGTGCGCCACATACTTCTCCAGGAAAGCCCCTGGTTACCACTCCCAGGGCGATGCCCTCCTCTCCTGGTCAGACCAGCTCAATTACGCCTTCCCCCCTCTACTGCTACTATCTTGAGTGCTCCACAAAATCTATTGAAACAAGGCGACGGTCATTTTGATTTGCCCCATTTTGGCCCAGACAATTCAATTCTGGTTCCCCAATCTCCTGCACATGTGATCCCACCCACCGAGAACCCCAACCCAAACTTTCCTGACCTTTTGACCAAGTACAATGGTGAGATCAAGCACCACAATCCACATCCAGTCCACTTCAGGGCATGGTATTTGGGTGGGTATCACCTATAGAACGGGCATGTTCCCCTGCAGTACAAGGCATTCTCCCTAACAGTAGAAACATTCTCCTAGATAATGTTACTGTGCTAAGTGGAGACGTTTTTCATCTTGGGCATGACATAAAGAGGTTTTACCAGAAGCAACAGAGTCCCCTAGTCGTAGTCACATTTTATCCTTACAGACACTGGGACTCACCCTCAGCACTTTGACATAGCACCTAGCAGCGATCACCACGTTCCATCCTCCTGTGCAAGGTTACTCTGTTTTTACACACCCGCTAATTGCTGATTTTTTTTTTTGAAAGGCCTTCTCAACCTTCCCACCTCTCAAAATAATTGCACCTCAATGGGACCTGAGTCTGGTACTCTTGGTATTAATGAAGATTCCCTTTGAGCCAATGGTCACCTTTCTCATGGCTATTACTTCAGCAAGAAGGGTTAGGGAACTTAGAGCTATGAGGGCAGAGCCACCATTTGCAGCTTTCCACAAGGATAAGGTTTCCTTACCACTACACCCAACATTCATACCTAAGGTGATCTCCTAGTTTGACATTAATTCATTCACTTACCTGTTTTCTCCCTGAATCCGCACGCATCTGTAGAAGAACATTGCCTTCATTCCCTCAACATCCGAGCTCTGTTTTTTGTTCTCTGCAGGTAGAAGGCGAATCAAAGTCGCTTAGACTGTTTATTGCGGTAGCAGAGAGACTCCGAGGACA